CTCCAAAAGTTGAAAAAAAAAATCCAAAAGCTACCTCCTCTTCCCATCCTCTCTATTTACGCACGATGTTCTTCGAAAATAATAGAAATTTCATCTCATGCGCTCGAAGAGATGAAAAAAACAAAAGTGGTATGTCAGAGGATATTGACTTTGGAATCATTTTTCTTCTCTCAGTAATTTATAGACTAAAACTGTTTGGTCACCCTTATCTTTTGATTAACAGTATAGGGGTAGAGCTGGTAGGGGACATTCAATAACATATCCTAAATAAGCAACCTCCTGAACAAACACTATTTCCCTTGTATATCTCACTCCACTTATTGAAATTTATCATAGGATAATATTTATAATGTTAATGACCTACATTATCATGTTTTTTCAAACTCTATTGTTTGAAAAAAAAAAATCCATTATTATTTATCAATCTCTAGATTTCCAACCCAATAAAATCCCAGATACTTTCGGAATATACAGGATGAGCCAGTTTTTTTGTAGCAGGACTTGAACAGCTTGAAGAACACATATTTTCAAGATGAGAAGTTCATGTGAACATATATGCGTGGGAGCTTCATTTCCGATATACAGGGAGTAAAAGTTTGAGATTTTTTTCTGTTTCTCTATTTTTCTCCTACAATCTTCAAAATAATTAATTGTAATTTGGTGTACCTAATGCACTTGAAAAACTCAATAGTTAGGGCTATAAGGCGATTTAGATTACCTACAGGGTGATGAATTTTTGGGAGTTGTGTCATATCCATTTTTTCATGCCCAATTTTATTTCAGAATATTCCTCTTCAATCCAATTCTGGTAATTTGGAATGAACTGATATTTTGCATAAATGGAGGTTCGAAAGCATGAGGAACAATAATATTAAGTTAGTTTTCTTGCAAACAAATTACTAATATGATTTTATATAAAAATCGACCCCTTTTTATTTCAATAACAAATCAACAGGATGTTCGTCTCTGAAAAACTGATCATATTGAAGACTATTCATATGCTGGTCGCGACTTGGTTAAGATCGCAGGACTAATATACTTATAGCTGAGATATATGTATAGGAGGGGCTCGTTTAAATTGAGACTCGCTGTAGATTCGTTAATTTTGAATATTTTCTCATGAAACTTGTTACTGATCTATTTAAGAGGACGCCGATTCCAGCGGATTTTTTTCTAAAAAAGTCGCTACTATGAATTCTGGATTCTGCAGCTTATGAATGTGATCTAGTAGGCCTTGTATTCTGAAAAACATGGACGCCGCTAACTCCAAACTACACCTTTCCCCCTTCTACATTAAAAAAAATGAGAGTCACTCTGTATGTTTACATGAGATTTTTATCTTAAAATAGATTCTTCCTCAAGCTATTGAAGTCCTGCTACACAAAACTGACTTGCCCTGTATAATTGACAATAAAATTGTTGCGTCAGAGATTTTAACATCGAATTCTTCTTGTAAATCGTCTGTCCCAAACCTATACATCTATTGATTAAGAATAACAGTATAGGGGAAAGGGGGCATTGTCCTAAGTCCTAAATAAACAATCTCCTAACCAAACATGATAATCCCTGTATCAGTCGATTCATTGGAATTATCGTCTACCGATAATCTCTAATCAGAACTGCACCTACGATACAGAGTTGCCGTTTAAAGTATTATTGTAATTTTCTAGTACATTTCATACACATTCAGTACGTCAAACACTAATCTAGTACAAAAACAAGAACCGGATAGCCCAAGCTATTATTGTATACATGTTGTATATAAAATAATTATTTTGAGAAGATATGTTATAATTGGAATCCTAATGAAGCCCTCATTGATGAAAAGTCCATAATTTCCAATTCAACGGAGAAACAACATTGAGCTGTTATTGATGAATTGATTTGACTTTGAAGTTTGAGTCATCTCCAACCAACCAAGGGAAATAAGGTAGGCATTGGTGTTCTTCTTGAATTTCTGGAGGTTATATGCCTCGGGGAACACCTTCCTTGGCAATGTGTTCCAGAGCCTCGCTGTTCGTTGGATGAACGAGTTTTTGGAAAGAGATGTCCTGCAGGTCTCCAAAGTGACCACGAAGGGGTGCGAAGCCTCAACTCGACGGGTTAATCTCGCGAGGACTGCCAAGAGAGGAACAATTGTTGATATTTCAGAAGAGCATCGTCCATGAAAATATCTATAAAATAGAGCCAGATCGCCTACTTTTCTACGGTGTTCCAGAGAAGTGAGTGAGTTTGTGAGCGAGGCATCACCCACGAGACGAATTGCCCTTTTTTGGAAAGAATCCAACAGTTTCAGGGTATGTTTGGGTGCTGCACTCCAAATATGGGAACAGTATTCCAGGACAGGTCGGATCTGTGCCTTATAGATCATAAGCAGCTGACTGGAAGTGAAACAGAAAACCAAGTTTTTGGGATGCACTTTTAGCAATTGATCTCACGTGATTTTCCCAAGAAAGGTTATTGCTGATAGTAATTCCAAGCTTTTATTAGTTATAATTGTTTCATGACCTACGTTTTTCAGAAGTATTTTAATTTGCGGTATATTATCGTTTTACATTTTTATACATTAATATGAAGTTTTTCATCAAATGTGTGAATCGTTAATTTTGAAGTGTTATTTTCTCAATTCAGTACAATATACTTGAATTTAGTACAATTTCAAAATGACTTCTAGTACAAATTGAAATTCTGTATCGTGTTTTTTTTTAAACTCGATTGATTTTTTTTCTTAGCCGACGACCTGGCCGCGCGTGGGTGCCAGAACTGGTAACGAAGGTAATAAAAATGTCTCCATATACGTGAGTGGAACTGGTAAATGCTCTAGATCTTGGAATTCGTCTACCTACACCCCCGCTCGAAGTCGTTTTATACAGGGTGTCCCACTTGAGAGTAGCACAAGTTGCCTACAAGATTTTTTTATCGCTTGGTTTTTTTTATGTTCTGGTTCCCACGAAAAGGGATATCCTGTAATGTTCAGAGAACATCGTGAGAACCAAGGGAAAAAGGTAGGAATTGGTGTTCTTAAATTTCTGGAGGTTATATGCCTCGGGGAACACCTCCCTTGGCAATGTGTTCCAGAGTCTGTTCGTTGTATGAACGAGTCTTTGGAAAGATGATGTGCTCTTTAATGAATGAGGACACACTTGCCATTTGAGGGTATACCATGAGACACAAATTCTTTTTATAAGAGATGGGATGACTTTTTTATACCACTTCATTGAACGAATGCAATTCGTAGTACTTCAACAGCTGTCGTTTGATTCATTAGGCATTCAGAATATCCTCTTATATTGAATGATTTTTTTTTATAAACGGATTATGGAATCACCTTCATCGAAATTTAGACACGAAACATAGTCCAGTATGAGGTTCCTAAAATCTCAAGACTAAGAGAATTTAGGAAAAATTTCGTGAATCGATTTTCAGCTGGCCTAGTGCAACTGATGAGGCTTGGCGAAGCTGAAACCAAGGCTGACAATCGATTCACGAAATGTTTCCTAAAATTTCTTAATCTTGAGATTTTAGGTTCCTCACCATCTATCGGTGGGACATTCTGCAGTCTGCAGAATTGTGGTATTTTCGCCTTTCTGTAAAAATATAGACGTAGGGGTCTATATTCGACGTACTCAAAAGATATTCGCAATATTGAATAACACGTCACCATCTGACGGCAGCAACTTGAACACTTCTGAGTGGTTGTTTTGATGATATGACCGATAAGCAAAAACAGAAAACAAATGTGAACCAATGAAAACAAAGTAAACATGCCGCTTTGACACCTTTCAAGAACTTCGATAGATGGCGTAAGCTTATTTTCTATCGCGAATGGTTGTTTAAACAATCTACTTATACACCTTTGCACTTCTGCCACTAGATGGCTCCTAGGACTAAATCGTCCTCCTACCCTTCGGGGCATTCGATAGTAAAGTATTTCAGCTAGTGATTCTACTTTTATCAAAATACAGTAATCACTAGCAATACATTCCAATCATCTTAGTTCTGTAAAACTAGAATATGAACCTATCCGTGATAGTAAACATGCCGCTTTGACAGCTTTCAAGAACTCCGATAGGTGGCGTTCGCTTATTTTCTATCGCGAATTGTCACTATGAAAGCACTTCTTTCCAGCGCCCTGTATATGTGGCAATAATTTCAAGTTATAGACCTGGTCGTCTCATTTACATTCGTTTTTGATTCATGTTTCTAGCCATCATAAAAACCCGAGCAATCGGACTATAACACCACCCGTATTCATGGCATGCCCTTGATTATCCATGATTCCACCGAGTCATCCCAACCATCCGCCCATTTATCGTGAATTACGACTGAATCAATGGATTTCTTGTCTTGGTATCCTAGGCTCGATGAATAATATTATAAACATATGGAAAATAACTGACGTATACAATCGTTGAAAACAACAGAGGGAAATGAGTTGAATATTCAAATTGTTAGAAGACAGCATGGGAAACCATAGGGAAGCGTTGGTTAATATTGGATGCAATATTACACCTGCCCAATACTCTTTATGGCAAGAGGATAACATCATCACATATCATTCATTTGTCATATTTTATATATGTTACAATGACTCCTGAGAGTGAACACGAACTCAAGGTGGAATGGCTATGATTTTGAATTGGGCGCCATATATTTATTTTTTCAGGGTAAGCATTCCTTCATGAGCAGCGCTACGTACGTTATGCAGTTTATAGTGAATTCCATTGGCAGGAACTGGTGGAGTGTTTCTCCACTGAGTGCTGAGTATATATATACCTCTGTTTACCACATGCGAGCAAGAAGGAAACATATACACTGAGTGCAGATGAACTCCACCAGTTCCTGCCAATTAGAGTATAGTGATATTTAGTTCATTTAATTCTTTCTAATTCTTCCCATACATAGCGTGCCCTCGATTCTCTGCCCATGATTACACCGAGTCATCACAACCATTCGCCCATTTACCGTGATTTACTGATAAATTAGTGGATTTCTTGCAGAGTCTCGGCATCCTAGGCTCGATACCGGCAGCATGGCTCATCCTCACGCTGCTGGTCCTCCTCATCTACCTGCTGACGAGATGCTGCGACCGCAAGCCGAGAAAGTCGCGCTCCATCGCTGCCATGAAGGTGACCTTGGCCGTGGTGGCGGTGCTGTGCTGCGCCGCCGTCGGCGTCGGGCTGTACGGCAACGACGACCTGCACCACGGCGTGGGCAGGACCATCGACGAGGGCAAGCAGGTGAGGAGGGGAAGGGGGTCGGGGTGGCCGCGTTCTTGTCTTCTTCTTATTATATCGAAGACTGGAAACTTTGGCACGGTAATACACTACACTCTGTTTTACCACTCACCAAACCGATTTTTTACACCTCGCGACACGTGTTTCTAACTATGTTAGCATCTTCAGGAGAAGATTAAAACTAAATGCTCTACCCTAGTGGGCTACTTATACAGGGTGTTAACAAATAAGTGTCACAGCGGAAAACTGTAGATTCTTCATAATGAAAGAAACATTTCTTTCCTCTTCAAAATTTTTCTCTGGGCTTCCGTTTTCAAGATACAGGGCATCAAAAAATCAAAAATGTTCAGTTTAATTAAACACACTTTACAACACTTAATAAACTTAACAACTTGAAAACCAGCATCGGGACCATCATACTCAAGAACCTGACATTTGATGGAACATATTATTATTAGACAGTTCTGAGCTGTTTATTTTCAGTGGATTTTTAGACGATTTTTGGAGATACCATCAGGATTTTGTATGTTCTTATTCATAAAGAGCCATTTTTCTCGGAAACTATTCACTTTAGAGCATTGAGACACGAGGACGTTTTTTGTGTGGAAGATATTGGCGCTTCAAAATCAACTTTGAAAATTACAATTTCTCCAGTGGCATAAATGTTTGGGGGGTTAAGCCCTTACGAGGCGTTGAATTCTCCTCCACTGAGATGTCCAAGGAAATTGATCAAGAGCCCTAAAAGTAGTCATTATTGATGATGAAGTGTGTACGACGGCTTAACTCCGTAGCTCAGACGGTTCCTGAGATAGTAGCAAAAAACAGATTTTTTTGTATTTTTTTGACGCCCTGTATCTTGATAACGGCAGCCCGTAGAAAAATTTCGAAAGGGAATAAATGTTTCTTTTGTCATGAGCATCCTACAGTTTTCCGTTGTGACACTTATTTATTAACACCCTGTATACTAAGAATATGTCCACCCAACCGTGAATAGACAAAACCGTCAAGTTAATGTTATTCATGATTGAGTTCACATGTTATATTACTAAACTATACAGAGGGCCAAATCGGATAGGTCCATTATTCTTATTCATTACTCTATTACTATTCTTAAATATCTCTAAACCTTCATATGCATTTAATTTCCTAACATTATCAACTTGCTCGACTAATTTAAGGTTATTAATATGTGTGTTATGCTTGTGATTGAACATGTGTTCAGCTACACACAATTTATCTGACCTACCATATTTCAAATGTGCTAAGTGTTCTTTGAACCTTGTTCTTATGGAATGCCTGGTTTGGCCCATATATGTTTTATCACAATCATTACAACTAATTTCATATATTCCTGACTTTTCAAGTATGTCCACCTTATGTTTTGGATTACCTTATGAATTTCCTAACTTTGACCTAGACTGATAAACGCTTTCAAAACCTAAGTCTCTGAAAACCTTATCAAGTCCTCTTGTGTACTTGGGATTGACAGGGATTGGGATTTTTCTCTGATTGTTTTCATCCGCTTGAAAAGTCGTAGAATTCCTGAGTGATAACTCAAATGTATGTCTACGTATTGATTTATCTACTATTTTGATATCATAACCATTGACGCCAGCCACTTTGTAAACAATACTTCTTGTGTGCCGGCGACTGCCTAGCGGTGGAGAGGAGCAGTTGCTCGGAATCGGTGTGTAGGTAGTTAGGCGATACCTGACTTCAATTCGAGCACATTTGGCCGTTTAGGAAAGGAATACTAGTTGCTATCAGTATTGGTTTATGAGGATTGTTGCATTTATAGATTGATTCATTGAGAAGGGGCAATCTCTAAAGTACAGATAGTAAATACCAAAATATGAATATGTAGCCTCACATGTCTAATAAGAATGTTGCTGGTTTAAGCGATACAGGGTGTTCAAGGGGGATATTTTATTGTGAAATTTCTCAATAGCTTTGTAAGTTTTAACAGCGTGAACATAAAATTTGGTACTCCTAGGTTTTCTGACAAGAAATACGAATTACATCATATCTTGTTGTCCATCAAATGATGATTGGAATAAGTCAAAAATCTGAAATTATGATCGGTGACGTCACAGTGTCGCCATATTGAATATAGAAAAAATATTTGCTGCCCCTTCATTTTGAAAACAAATGTCCACTTGCAATATGTCATTGAGAAAGACATTTTTTGCTCTATCGAATGGCGAGAAAATATCTATAGGGTTCCATTCAAAATTCGCGACCTAGGCATATTTCCGGTAAAACCGGAAGTTGTTCTTTCATGGAAAATATGTGTTTTAAGGAACTATATCTTCAATCCAAATATCAAAGAATGACGCCCTGTCCAATGATTTGGTTGTCACCTGATATATCATTTTCGTTCAATTATTGAAGATTTTGTGGAAATGGCTATAGTTTTGCACTCACTCTTGTACCTTATGCTTTTTGACTTTATAGGTGGACGTGCTGATATCGAAAATCAGGAATCAAACAGAGGATATTGAGCGTCAATTGCGTATCCAGGCCGACAGACAGATACGCGATCTCTACAATATATTCCAGGAGCCTGGCAAAAACCAGACTTTGTTCAGACAAGTCAATGCTTACTTCAAGAAGGTTGTAGGTGAGCTTTCTTCATTAGCTGTATCTGGTACTTCTATAAGCAACCTTAGTCTGGCTTCTACTGTTTGTGTAAGATCTTCTAAAGAATATAGTATTAAAAATCACCTTGTAATGAATGCCCTGAAAACTGATTTTCTTCAGTTTTCTGCTTCTACTCTTGACTACAGTCTACTAGTGAGATCTGATATCTCTTCTCTTCGGCAATCAAATGTTGAATTTCTTGGGAGGAAGGGAGAGAGGGAGGAGGGGGAGGGGGAAGAGAGAGAGAGTGGTGTGTATTGAACCAATAAAAAAATTCTACATTCTTATGTAGGTCCTTTCTTTGAACAAAACATTACTATTTTTTCAATACATATATCATTGTTAAGCTATTCAACCCACATGAGCCAGTCGGCATTATATACTTTACACAAAAAAATTAAAACAAACTAAAATTACAGTATTACCACAAGTATTACACTTACAGTCAAGATTACATTATTACAGCATTGGAGAACATTTTGTTCACACTTGTTTACATATTTATTCATTTTGGTCCAGTTTAGTAAAGTTTAAGAAAGTTTGTCAGCTTTTTCTTGAATATCATTATTGGAGAACATTTTATAGGGGGCTCATTCTCAGGTTACGCCTTTTAATGAGTGATATTCGATAATATATTTGAATTGATTTTCTTTATTCAAAACTCATTGACAATCTATCTCTTGTCATCTCTCATGACGTTGATATGTACAGTAAGATACTTAACATCATATTTTATTTTAAAAGATAACTAGATTATCTAACATTTCCCTTTTCAACAAATACTTGATCACATCCTTAAGTAACGAATCTTTGTGGAGGCTTAACAATTCGGCCACTTCTAGTTGTGACACTACTACGATCTGCCTGTATATCTAATCTATCACCCTCATAATCTTTACTAGTTTCATCGCATATCTCTTCTTCATTCATTTTCTCTTGATTCAAACATTTCTCAATATTATATCTTCTCTAATTCTTATAAAATATTTTTCTCTATTCTCATTTTCTTCTACATTCAATTTTGTGTGTGATGAGAAAACTCTCCAGTGACTGACCAACTTCCTGTTTCATGGTGAAAAACATGTATCGTTTATATGAAAGATTTTCTTTGGGTAAGAAGTGCTGTTCAAAATTATTCAAGAGTACTGCTAACTTATCTCTATCAGCGGCGGGAATTTCAAAGGTTCGGTAAATTTTGAAGCATTCTTTCCCAATGTAATGTAACATCTGGGCACACTGAGTACTTCCTTCCTTTTTATTCACTTCTGTTGCTTTCAAATAGTTCTCAAAGCGGGATCGCCATATCTTCCAGTTATTTGCTATATTTCCATCTAATCCCATAGGAGTGATACCTCGCTCTCATCATTTACTCATTTCTTTATATACCTGCTTTAAACGATTAGGTTTTACGACTGCACCATGTTGATGAGTGCTATTCGATGATATATTTGAATAGATTTTCTTTATTCAAAACTCACTGACAATCTATCTCTTGTCATCTCTCATGACATTCGGGTCGATTCTGTTCGGATCTTGTTATAACATTGCTAAGATAGTGATATTGTTATGATCATAACATATAACAATATTGCTATGAAGTTCTGTATTCTGTTTGCAGAGTAACTACAAGACTGGTTATAAGTTCAAGTGATAGCAATATTGTTGAAAAATTGAGAATTTTTGAGCTGACAACACTGTTTTCAACTCATTGTTCAAGTGTTTGGTATCGATTTTGCCATTATTTCATGAAGAAGAAGAGTTCATGATTACCTAACCTCTCAAATTAGTCAGTCCTGCGCAGACATTTTACAAAATTATATAGTTTAATTGAATCGAGAGATTTTTTATTTGCTGAATCTGGTCGTCGTTGTGCGACTGGCAATTAATCAATCATGTTCCCGAAATGAGAAAACAACAAACAACTAAAAGCCGGATGAAAATAATCGTGATTTTTTTAATATTCTAGCAAAATAGCTTGATAAACTATCCATCAGGCAACTGAAATTTCTCTGAAATGTCGAAATTGTAGTCTCATATTTCCTCTACAAATTGGAACTTCAAGAAAAGGTTTTCAAGTAGTTGGTCACAGTAGTCAGCCTATCCTATATGTTTGTAATCAACATTTTATGTTTTGCAATAATTCTCCTACGAATTGAAACTTTGAGGAAAGGTTTTTGAGTAGTCAGTGACACAACTGAACTCTCATATGTTTTTAATCCACTATTTTCTGAATTTTCATACAGTTGTAAGAATTTGTAGTGCAAAAACAAAGAATCCACTACCTTGTTATAAGATAGCAAGCACAAAATTGATGTCGCCGAGATAGCAAGAAAGCTGACCAGATGTCATTGGAATTGACAGATCATATTGCCAAAAATCGATGATTAGAATTCCACTTTTTCAAATCTTGCTATGATAGCAATATCTTCTCTACATCCATATTGCTATTTGCAAACAGAAACGACCCGATTGTTATGTACAGTAAGATACTTAACATCATATTTTATTTCAAGAGATAACTAGATTATCTAACAACGCCCACGATATTTTTTTGCAGACAACCGCAACCTGACGGCCAACTACGCCAAAGACATCCGCCACCCCCTAGTCGGCCTCAACCTCACCTCGGCCATCGTGCTCGGCGAGCGCCTCGAATCCTACCGATGGCCCGCCACCATGGCCGCCCTCAGCTGCCTCCTCCTGCTCTGCGTCGTCCTGCTGGTGGGCGTGGTCAGGCACCACCGTTGCGCGCTCATCCTCTTCTCGGTGTGCGGGCTGCTGGCCGTCATAGCCTCCTATCTGATGGCGGGTTTGTATGTGTCGTCGGCGGTGGCGCTGGCCGATCTGTGCATGGCGCCGGATAAGTTCGTGGAGAGTCGGGCGAGTTCGAATCTGAGCAAGGAGATTTTGAAGTACTATACGAGCTGCGAGCGCGCCAGGGCGAATCCGTTTACGCAGCGGTTGCGGGAGGCTAAGCAGGCGGTGGACAACATGCGGGTCAATTTAAACAGTAAGTTTTTTATTGTCAAGGAGTATGATTGTTGAATGTCGAGTGTAAGAAATGAGAAGAAGCGTTACGCATGAACATGAAGAACGCTTCATGCATGTGTCAGTTACGTGAAGAAACCAATAAAGAGCATGCAAATTAAAAAAAACTTCATGCTTGCGTCAACAACCTAATGAAAGCCTCACGCATCCGTTAAAAGCAGTAAACACGCCACAAATGCTTCAAGTAGGATAAGAAAACATCACGATTGCGTTGAAAGGAATAATAAATCTTCTGGCTTGATTAGCAAGCTCAAAAAGCGTGAAAAAAGGAGTCAACTACGCGGAAAAAGAGTTACGCATGAGTCAAAAACGTAATTTACTTGTCAAAAACGTAACGCATTTGTCAAAAATGAAATGCATGTGTCAAAAACGTTAACCATTAGTCATAAACGTAACGCATGCGTCAAAACGAGAAAAACCGTCACCCATGCGTTCAAAACTTCATAAAACGTGATAAAAGCGCAGATGCCTATAAGACTTGAAATGACGTGATAAGAGCATAACGCATTCGTCTAAAATATGAAAAAAGGTAAGAAAGCGTCACACATGAGTCGATACATTCGAAAAGACTGAAAAGTTAGAGTTAGAGTGACAAGTGTGAAAAATGAAATAAAGAATCGTCACACATGCGTAAAAAACTTGAAGAAGGAGATAGAGTCACTTATGCGTCAATGAACGTGGAAAATAGTTTAATAGTAATAGAATCTGAGCAAGGGGATTTTGAAGTACTATACGATTTGCGAGCGGGCCAGGGCGAATCCGTTTACGCAGCGGTTGCGGGAGGCTAAGCAGGCGGTGGACAACATGCGGGTCAATTTAAACAGTAAGTTTTCTGTAGTTAAGGAGTATGATTGTTGAATGTCGAGTGTTCACAGTGGAATGTAAAAAATGAGAAGAAGCGTTACGCATGAACATGAAGAACGCGTCATGCATGTGTCAGTTACGTGAAGAAACCAATAAAAAGCTTCAAGCATGCAAAACAAAGATTTCTCCACAACTTGAAAAAAGCTCCACGCGTCCGTTAAAAGCATTGAAAACGCCACAAATTTTTCAAGTAGCATAAGAAAACGTCACGAGTGCGTTGAAACGAATAATAGGCCTTCTGGCTTGATAAGCAAGTTTGAAAAGCGTGAAAAAAGGATTTATTAGTCTACTACACGGAAAAAGAGTTATGCCTGAGTCAAAAACGTAAAGCATTTGTCAATAACGAAGAAACCATAGGAAAGCGTTACACATATGTCTAAGACTTGAAATGACGTGAAAATAGCATAACGCATTCGTCTAAAACATGAAAAAAGTTGAGAAACCGCCAAGCATGTGTCAAAAACGTGAAATTGCAGCTTGAAAGCATCATGCATGAATCAGTACATTCAAAAAGACAGGAGTTCATGCACAGCCGGCTCTATAACAAGCCGCGGTGAGAGAAATGCAACACCGCATCGCCGTGACCCGGAAGGTCTACTCTCGACTGGTTACGCCGGCGACATATGCACACACTGATACGTTACCGCCAACCGCGCTAACGTAATATCAATTTCTGTCTTTGGATAGAATAAAGAACTGGCAAGTCACATTTTACATTAACCATTCAAGATATTGCTTGGAGAAATATTGAAAGATAGTTGTATCGTTTGTTAGCTAAAATGAAAAAGAGCCTTATGAATTCATACACAGAATGAGAAGTGGTGTATAACATAGAAGACATAATAATTATTGTAGAAGAAAAATATATATTTTTATAATGTGTACTTGTTTCAATTGATCAAACAAAATTTTGAGAGTTTAAGAATGGGGTGAGCTATTTTCACATTGAGATGATATGAGGGCTTTTCTCAGATATATCAAACTTTTCTCTATTGTCATCAAATAAGCTAATTTTATGTTCTTTGGTCTGATTATTCTGTGTGTGAACTGAGCTGTTTCTGTATCTCGCTAAGTCGCTAATATTCTGAAGTGTGACCACCTACTCGATTTCATACCACAGGGAAGAATCCATTTCAAATCATTGAATTCCAACTTATCATCATCTAGTAGAACTTGGCCCTGCATCTCATTTAATACTACAACTTGGGAAGTTATGTTCAATACATCTGACTGTAAATCCAATTTGTAATAATAAATTCTACGTTCTGTCTTACTCTAACAACTATCAATTTTCAATTTTTCTGCATATTCTTCAACTACCTAGCTCGTAATTGAGAATAAGGTCGGAGTTTTCAAAATCAATTTTTCTCTTTTTATTTTGTACAGCTTAACCTTTCTACCGTCTTTCATCAGAATCTGTTCTTAATGTTATATTAGGTTTAGAAAGATAACTTGATAAATTTGGAAGAATAGAATGTTAACTGATGTTTCAACTAACTGTGGGTTATTTAGCAAAATTTTCCCTATTGATCCATCTGGAAGAGGAAATGTATCATATCAAAAAATATATCTGTTTCGACGAAATGAATTGCAGATACTGAGGAATGTTGAGGTGGGGACCAAATTTTACAAATCTACATCTAGGAAATTTAAAAATTGGAACATATTTCTTTTCCGAAGCGTATTTTGACTTACACCCTGCCACACAGCAATTATTTGGCATCTTCTTATGAGGAAGGTTGAAATTACTTACTCTGCTTCCAGAAATGAGACAACATAAAACATAACCTCGATTCAATAACAATTATTGATGAGTCTTTCACACACACACACACAAAAACCCTTACACTCATAACTCGATCACTAGAATATTCCTAGCACTTTTCAATGGCTTTCAATAATATTTTACATTGATAACACTTCACTATACTCTTGAAAAAAAAATACAATCACTCTGTTGCATCCAGAACCGATATATCGTATGTGTGTGCGAATGGCTGGAGGTAGACCTTTTGAACAGTGTTGCCAGACTGAGCTCACCGCGGCTTTCCTCTTCAAAGATGGCTATGGTTTATGAGAAGTATAATATCGTTCTTGTCACTGTAACTAGTTTGAAAATGTCCATACGAAATTTACAATTTAGCAGTTAGTAGGTATAGGTATTCTGTTCAAATGTCAGTATCTGATACAAATAAGAATTAATAAGGCAGAAATTGTATTCCCCAAAGAAATTTAATATGGAAATGTGTCTCATTGAATTGTTATTCTACATATGGTTGCCGAAAAATTTGTGTACGCAACACAACCGAAAACAATTTTTTTGGACTCGCAAACTTCCAGGACTCGCATACGGCTCGGCCTAGAATTCTTTCTACTCGTCCAAAAAAACAGTATTTTCCGCACTTGCTAGGTAAATAACAAATTTTCTACCCTCTATTTCCTTCCGAAACAGGCATGTCGGAGCCGGCCAAGTACCTCTTCCCCCGTCAGGGCGTCGAGACGAAGATCAGCTCGCTGAAGAACGACATCAACGCCGCCGAGAAGTTCATCGACTCGCTCACCACCTTCGTCGATTGCCGCTCGCTGCATCTGCACTATTTGAGAGGGGCGCGCGCCCTCTGCAACACGGGCTTGTTGGGACTCACCCTGATGCTGGGCTCGGCCGTGATGGCCGGCTTTCTCTTGACCATTCTCGTGTGGGTCGATTCGCACACTTGGATCTACATCCGGAAGAAGTGAGTGTTTTATACACCAAGGTCCTATTTCATTCTTAATTTACATCAATTCAATATCATCTTTGAAACTAAAAGTAGATCTGAAGTTATTTGCAGATGATACTACAATAATCTATTCCTCTAAAGAATTTAACAATATAGTTGATGATATAAAAAGTGTGAAAATAGTGAACTTTTTTTCACAGTTGTTGCTAGGCGATGGAATGAATGCTTGCGTGAAAGGGGCCCATATACTGCGTTATTGGTAGGCTGTTTTGTTGGACGAACAAGTCTGTTTGAACAAAAATGATGCAAAACCAAAGTGTGTGGTTGCAAAATGATCGTTTTTGGCTAGCCGCACACCACACACTTCGGTTTTGCGTCATTTTTGTTCGAACATACTTGTTCAACGAACAAAACATCCCACCAATAACGCAGTCTATGGGCTCCTTTACGGGATTAAGCAAGGCAGCAAGCGAACAAATCCAGGCGGCTAGCTTCGTATTTTGTATGGAGTGCCAGTGAAATAGAGGTAGCGGAGAGAAGGCGCCGCGATATCCTCGCGTATTAGATAGTGTAAACGCGAGCGAGATAAGCGATTTATTAAAATTAGCCGAAGGTGTTAATCATAATCATCATAAGTTGATTGAGGTTGTCCTCTTTTTTGACAGTTGTTGGAAAACATATCGTATGTAACATGTGCCATGAAGTATTTCTTACTCATAGAAATTGCCACACTCCTACTTCTCCGACGTGCGTCAACATTTCCGACTCGTTGAAATCTAAACATTCAAAAATACTAACAGTTGTTATTTCTTTGAACGAACTCTTACCTAAATGATACTATCCAGTGACTCTTCATTATTCAATCCCATTCAATGATTGAAAATTTGATAATTCGCCCTTAATAAAAGAATGGGCGAGTGGACTGATGATGAGTTATTGGAATTCAATTACTCCACTGTGTAGTTAGGAACCTGAATGAATTCTTGCAACACTTCTCACGCTTTCTTTATGTCAATTATAAGTCTATGCGTTATTCGGAATCGTTAAATTTCATGATAGAAACTATAAAAACGATTTATATTAACCCTCTCATAATCTTAAATATGATATGCCTACATTTATTGATAGCAACATTTACTTAGAAATGAGTAACAATTTAGGAATTGTAGCAATGTATTACAAATAAATGTTATTATTATTATTAATATAAAATGGAAAAATAAAAAAAAATTCAAACGTAACGTTATGTCCGCCATTTGGCGATACGTCGAATAAATGGTCATGCCAGTTTTTATGCTATTTCGTTATTGGTCAGGTAATCTTCCATTTCGACTCATGAAGCAAGGTTGTCAAGTCACCAATTAAGAAAAAAGATGTTTGAATCCTGTCGTTGAATAAAACATAATAGGAGGAACTCATTACATTATAGTTCATTTTTGATTTTTTCGAGCAACCAGTATGTACAGATATTTCCCATTCTTCATAACAAAATACCATGTGAATGTTGAAGACTAGGCATTATTGTGCTGAATGCTGAGAAATAACAAGACAACGCCCACAAGTCGTGCGCGGTGTTGTCACGTTCACCGATTCAAATGTCCTCTAGTGTGAATTAATATAATTATTATTTACACAAATTTATTATAAGCAATAAGCCACAAATCGTAAGGGAACATTTTGAGACAATTGAATTTTCATTGCTAATTAGGAATATTACCAATACTCAATTGAATGAATTATTGAATAACTAGTATTTCTGAAGTTCCCAATCGTATTTCAACACATGGCAACTGTGCTATGGTCTGCCCCTACTTACGAAATCGTTGCGTCAGTTTTCACTGGCGGTGAATTTCTAGCCGTTTGAAAATTACCGTGGCATTATTGATGATTTTAGCACCTAAAAATCGACCGAAAAATTCTTAAATCGAGAGGTATTCGATTCTATTTAAAACTCATTACCTCCCGATGTACTCATTTGAGTACACTGCAAATTATGGTCTACTATCTACATCTATTGAAATGTTTCAACAAAATAATGTCGTAGTAGTATTTTGCAATGTACAAGAAACTCGTAATTTCGAGATGTAAACTCGTAATTTCGAGATGTACCCACAAATGGCGTAAACAACTGCTGAATCATCAATTGTTTTCAAGAGTTCTGTTTTGCACTGCGTCCAATGAAAATTCCCATTTGGCTCTGTGAATTAGCTGACCAGGTATGCATCCAAGTTGCTTTTACTATCTTGACACGTAATTTTGTATTATTCCTCACATGACCAAAAAAAAACAATGATGTACTCATTTTGGTACAATGGGAAGATACGTATGTGTGATGAATTTCGGAATTATATTTCAGAACTGGGTTTGAAATAAATACCAATTTCTTGGAAATGCTTCTGTGGCAAACGTTTCAAAACATTAGAAGAAGGAATGGATGACGTTCTTTCTTGAAACCGTGAGCCTGAAATGATTATTATTCCACCTGAGGTAGACACTCAACGAGATGAAGAAGAATTTGACGAAATCGATATTGGTATATCCTCGGGTATATGTCTCCACTGATATTCCTTGAGAATTTGAAATTTCGGGTTCCTCAGATGATGGAATTCATTTATCTGAAGTAGCTGCTAGAAGTCAAGGAGTCATGGATAGCGACGATAGCAACAGTCCCGATGACACCGTGCCGTTATCAGTACTATTTCTCAATAAACTCTCAACTTTGAAATTTGAAGGAAGTAGAAAATTAGAAGAGAAACCTAAGTGGACAAGGAATGGGCTTATATCACACAAAATTTTTATTTCATAATTCGATAGAACACCCAAATTAGCTCACCACCGCAAACCGTTTCTTGCTGTGAGCTCCCTACGTTTTATAAAAAAATATTGAAATCACCGATTTTTCAGACCTCTGAAAACGAGCCGGTGATGTGACGTCAGAACCCTAATACTGAAACAAGACTATTCCAGACAGAGATGAAGGATACATGATTTCTGACAGAGTGAATTAGCGCGAGATCACAGTTGAAAGAATTGATATATCAGTTGCCTCAGTCTCCGTCGGGCGTTCGGTATTTTCTTTTAACCAAGACGAGATGAGGTTTCTACGTCATAAGAGGGTCCGTTTTCAGAAGGTACTATTATTTATGCCCAAAAATAAAATATTCCAGTTAATTTTTCGTTCTAATTATGTCGTCAATCATTATTTATGTATAAAAGGATCATTATAAACATGGTTTGAGTTAAAAGTTCTACTAAGGTGTACACGCCCATTCCATGAATTTCGATGAAAACACGCTGGATGTATTTCTTTCGCTTGCAGGAAGGACTACCAGCAAGTGACGGAGACGGACCCCTATCTGCCGCCGCCGCAGGCCAGCCAGGCGATCGCCGCCAGGACGTTGCAGCGCAGCCAAGGGTCGTCCCACCCCCCCGACACTCCCCCGCCCAGCTACACCGCCGCCTTGCTGCACCGCCGCCCGCCGCCCCTGCATGCCACCGCGCCCCCGCATGAGGCCGACCTCTTACTGTATTAGTGCCCTTTTTTTATTTTATTTTTCTTATTTTTATTTTGCGTGAGTCTAACGTTTGCGAACCATTCCACAGCCGTCTTCAACTATCAAGCCGTGCTGAGATACTGGCAACGTCGCACGAACGGAAACCGTCGGTCCCATTCGAGCCTAGCAATGTTTGGTTTTCTCGGATTATTTTGTCGAATAGGTAAAAAATACAGGAGAGTGAACTTACAGAGTGAAGAATGAGGAATAATGTGGTTGAATAATTCCCTTGGTCATGAACTGAAGCCGTAATTTTGAACATTTTGATAAAATAAAACTTATGAAGATATCGAACTGTTCATAGTTGTGGATGAGGTCTGATTTTTCAAACTGTTCTATTATATTACTTTGAATATCTAAATATTTCTGACGTCTTTCATTTGGATCAGTTCTTGATGGTTTGGCTGGTTTTGAAAAATATTTTGGTAAATTTGGAAAAATTGAAGGAACTGCTGTTTTGACTAACTTTGGTGCTCGTAACAATTTTTTTCCAATTGATCCATCTGGCAGAGGGAATGTATCATACCTGATGATATCTTTTTCAATAAAATGAATTGCACATACTGTAGAACGTTGAGATGGTGTCCAGTTTTTTCGAGGTATTGCTGTTATCCACTTACTTCGCAATTCTTCCCCTTTTGGGAATAAAAAAACTGAGACATGATCCTTTCCCAGCTTTTTTTCAGAGCTATAATTTGACTTACATCCTGGCACACAACAATGAGAAGGCATATTTTATAAGGAATAATGAATAACTTACTTATTTCCAGGAGTAAATTGAAAAAACAACACAAATTCCCTTGCAAATACACCAGCACTACTATATTTCAATATAACCTCCAATTTAACACAATTTTGAATGCACTTGCCACACACTTTCAGTCTCGAGTCGATTTCTAGATTGTTGCTAATACTTTTAAAATTATTTGATCTCAATATTACACCAATTAATAATTGAAAACTTTAAAAAAACCTTCCATAAACTCCTTGTTTACTTCCTACACAATACACTTTGAATTGCCGACAGGTGCAAGTTCGGTCGTTCGGACAATGTTGCCAGACTGCTTCTTCACGGCTTGATAGTTGAAGACGGCTGTGACCATTCCCAAGCCTCATTTGGAGATTTTCTGACAAATGTAAAACCTCCACAAACGATATGATTTCCACACGACATGTTTTGCTAACATATGATGAAGCTAATGTGTTAGCGAAACATGGCGGGTGATTAAGAATTTTCTGGAAATCCTATCGTTTGTGAAGTTTTTACATTTGGTATTGGTATTGGTAGGTTGGATGGTGACAGATGCGCTGCGACCTAATTAGATCTATTGTGCCCCATCTGCTCCTGCTATATCAAGGATTTCCTGTTCATAGCAGCCCCTCGAGATTCAATTCCTTCAGGAATTTGAGGATTTTGAGGGGGTCTAGCTGTGGTATTTCTTCCACAGTCAGCTGGTGTGTTCCCAGTATGTTCAATCTTTTGTGATGTACAGCGTCACACTCCGTCAGTATGTGATGGGGTGTTTCTGGTTCTTCCTCACAGAATCTGCAGGTGCCGTCCTCCTGTAAGCCTAGCTTCCTTAGGTGTTCTTTGTATCTGCAATGCCCCGTTAGAAATCCCGTTATTGCTTTGAGACTTCCTTTGCTGAGGTTTGTCAGTGTCTAAGATCTTTCTCGGTTGAAATTTCCAAGGAGATCTTTAGCCTGCCGTAGTCCTGGAATTCTCCTCCATTGTCTGGCTCTCCAGGCTCCTTCCGCCTCCTCAAGTTCTCCTTGGAAATAGGAATTTCCAAGGCCGCAGAATGGCTCTGGTCCGATCAGTGGCGTTGAAGCCCCTTATCGTGCCAGAGCGTCTGCTTGTTCATTCCCTCCCACTCCGATATGCCCTGGCACCCAGAGGAGGATAACTTTATTGTTGCTGCCTAGCTCATTCAATTTGCTTAGGCATTCCCATACCATCTTCGAGTTGATGTAAGGAGAGCTCAACGCTTTGATGGCTGCTTGGCTATCGGATAAAATCGCGATGTCCTTCTTCCGGTATTTCCTGTCTAGGTTGAGCTGGATGCATCTTCCTATGGCGTGTATTTCCGCTTGAAAAATGCTGGGGAATTGTCCCATGGATTCGAAGTATTTGGTGCGAGGCCCAAAGACTCCTGCTCCAGTTCCCTCGGGTGTTTTAGACCCGTCCGTATACCAAGTAATGGTGTTCCTTCCCAGTGATTCGATGGATTCTGTGCTCCGTTCGCGCTTGTTGCTCAGCTCCACTCGGAAGTTCTTCTCAAAACTGAACTTCCTAATGATTTGATCTGTTGGAAGATCGGCGAGGTGTGCGATCTCAGTGGGGGGTGAGCCCCTTACACTGTGCGTTTTCCCTCTTAGTCCGACCTTGGCTAACCTGAGATGTGCTCCATAGGCAGTTTTCCTCACCACGATGCGTAGAGGTGTGAGATCCAAAATGACCTCTAGTGCTGCTGTTGGAGCTGATCTCATTGCTCCTGTTATGCAAAGACATGCCAGTCTCTGCACCTTCTCTAATATTTTCCTTGTAGTGGCGAGTTCGGTTCTGCCGTGCCACACTACTGCTCCGTAGGTGATCATTGGTCTCAGTTTTTACATTTACTCATTTAGAGAGTTTTTGGTTGCCGACGGGCCTGACCGACCGGTCGTTAATGTCACCTTAACTGATCACAATGACAAATACCATTGGTTATGACGAGTCGCTTGTTCGCTTGTGTACAAACACGGCAAAAACCTTAAAAACCGTGAACTCCACTGCTCAATCGATAATAAACTAGAAAATAACATAGTATCCTGATATCCTAAAAATCATTAAATAGTTGCAGCTAGGTGTGAATGAAATGATCACAAAAAAACCCATCTCGGTCCCTCTTTCAGTTGTCTATAACTCCCTAGGAAGGCATATCTGGGCTCATGTTTATATAAACTTCTTGCGCTATTTTTGTTCCTGGAATCTCTGTTTCAAATATTTCTATGTAATTTCGGGATACCCTGTATACCGGGTGACACAGGGTATCGGGCCACCCCTGTAACTTCTGCATACCCTGTGCCACCCAGTTTATCTGATTGATATGCGACGGGGCAAAAGCCGACGGCGGCTGCACCTGCACAGAGACAGTCGTCGGCTCTGACCTGACATGCAGCGAAGTCAATGATAGTCTAATCATAATATTTATTGCGTCCTCGTTATAAATACTTATGACAAGATGCAAGTTGGAATTTTTCCATCATTATTTTTAGTTCTAGTTCACCCTTTTCGCGAATACGTGAAAATCTAATTAGTAATCTGATTCATAAAATTCTCGTGTCACACTATAATAGATTCCTAATGATCATAAAAGATATTAAATTTTTGTCCATTTGCACGTTTTTGTAAGACCAATATTAACTGAGATAGATTGAGTAAAATATAAACAATCACCCTGTACTCTACAAATGGTTCAATGTAGACACCTAGTACTGGGTGAGTCGTGTGTATATTCTCGCTCTTTATTGGGATGTTGGAATAATGGGTCAGAATGCAGATGAAACAAAAATGGGTAGAAAAGTTTTTTGACTTGACATTTCATGCTGAATGTGCTCTCTTTGGAATTTGAAAATTTGCACAAGTGAACATTTTGCCAAGGATTACAATGTTTGATTTAGTGCGGTTACATTTTTGAAATACTGAGCTTGTGACGTATGATGAAGGTAAGTTGACTTATTCTTGTGTTTACCATTTTTCATTAGTATTAACAATAGTTCAGACAGAGTTGACACATCTTGGAAGAAACTAATGCACACTAACATATTCTTTATATGTAATTTCTTAAAATTCGTAATTTTAGTTTGTCTTGTTTTATTGAAATGTTACCTATCATTATTCTCCTAAAATCTATCTTTTAATCAGTTCTTTCAAGGAGTTGGTGTATATATTGAAATTTTAGGAGGAGATGACCAATGAACGACTGTTTCCCAAGTGTAATTGAATAATTGGGTTCTGATAGAACATGATTTCAGGATTCACAATAATTGAGCTTGAAGATACCACGACATATCCAGTACACTCAATTGGGCAACAGATTGAAGAAATATTTATAACCTAGATGAAATATTTATGTATTTGAGACTGCTAAATACTTAAACTAAAGTGGGTATAAAATACAAATAATTGAAAATAATATTTTCTTTAGAAGACAAAAAGCATAATTGCTTTCTTCAAAACGTTGAACGTTGAAGTTTTGAAAATCTTCGAAAGTGGTTGTATTCTAGACCCAGAAATGTAGATTTATTTAGTTGTGCCTAGATGTTGAAAGCCTAGCTCTAGCATGTGGAAAATATATTATTTGCTTCTTATTTTATTTTTATGTTCTGGTTTAGTTATGATTCGTTTGTTCAATAAAGTTTTTTTGTTCATTTTGTTTGATTCATTCCATTCTGAATTTCATATTATTAACATTTTTCAATAAAATCTGATTCAGGGTGATATATATAGTTATCACTAGGATCCCTTGATGTAAATTAACGTATTTGTCTTCTTAACAGGGTGCGGACAGATCCTCGTCTCCTCTCACTCTAAAGTGTTTGTGGCACAGTTATATAATTTCATCTTTATTCATTTCTGGGGATAAACACTAGATTTCTGACATTTGTTGTTTTTTAGGTTATATTGAGGACATTGGCGTATCATGCGTAATTTCCACATGTAATTTCTCATTCAACTCTACATATTATATCCAAATGATGATAATTTTCGAGTTTTTGATTTTTCAACTCCAGCATAATCTTTGTGAGGCAGTGAACAAATTTTTCTGAAAGTTCAATACGTTTTACCTAATGGAATTGTTCTTAGGCAGTACCTATAAATAAATGAATTTTGATTTCCGACTAAGCCTTATGATTGAGAAATGGTGAAAAATTTCATTTAGGTATTCAAACTAATGTGCTCATATGTCATGTGTGCTGTATATATTCATGTTGGGAATCATTTTTGCAGTTTTTCACAAACACTTAATATTTCCTGAATGTAGATATAATTTTTAAAATGGTAGGGCATATATCCTCCGTTTTAATCAAAACTGTTTGCATTCAGAAACTTGTGGAGCGGATGATTATAGGCACAATGAGAAATTATAATATGTGATTTCGTATTAGTTTTCCTCGAATATTTTGCTGATGTATTAACCAATTTCCTCATTCGGTCACTTCACTTTCCATGCTAAGTTCATTTGCATTTGATGGAAAGCTGACAAATTCAAGCTTGCCATTTAACTGATTGATACAGCCTAACGTAGCATATTTTACCATCCATCCAAAACAGAATTGAATAATGTCGTATCAAGATAAAGTACGAAATTGAAATTTTGTAAGATCTCTTTTAACGCCTATGAATGTGACGTGACAGCAATGTCATGTCAGGGACGCCAATACACGAAACCAAAGTCACTAGATGATTAAAAGAGAAAGGAGCTATGATCTGTCCGTACCCTGTTAGATGACAAATACGTCAGTTTGCATCAAGGGACCCTAGTTATCACTAACAGAATATTGTTTTTTAAGGCATCATATCTTAATTTCTATTCGATAAATGTCTGTTTGGTAAGACAACTTGTTTGAGAACATCGTCCGGTGATATATTTCAAAATTGTTTGTACGGTACACAGAATTCTTTTTTTTTTCTTTAAATACGATAAATATCACAAAGCTTTTGCCTATTTATTTTTCAATCACTGTATGTTGTATATATTTGCATGAATTCTTTTTACCATCCACAGTGTGTTCCAATCAAGATGGAAATAATTCCAATAAAAAAATGCAGGACCAAATTTCGATTTTTCTATCCAACCATCATTGATTTTGATACATCGGTTTTCATAAATAAGGTTGAATATAGTTGAGTATTTCATTCTATTAGAAGTGCAATTGTCTGAAAAATACGTGAGGAGTGAAAATTAATCTGAATGCCGTTTAAAGTACATTCGTTTTTTTCAGGTTGATTACCTACTTTGAATTACTTGAAAGTATTCATGCTCGAATAGTGTTTTCAAAAACAAAAAGATCTATAAATATAGTACTCTTGAAGACGACCATTAAACGGAATATCCCTTGCAGACCATCTCAATAATTTTTCACTCTAGCGGAACTGTTATTTTCTCTAGTTGGGTCACACTGTTTAATGTCAAGGCCATGGTGATTATAGCTAGTGTAGATTAGATAAGTCCTCTTCCATTGTCTATAAGTATACTGTTCAAAATTTGAGGTGGGACATTCTCGGAATGCTTCAAGATTAGCTACATAATTCAAGATTAGCTACATAATTCAGGAAAACTTATCGTTTTTTCATATTTTGTGATTATATTCATTCGTTGTCCTGCCCTGTGTCAAAAGACAGAGGTTGAACTCAGCTTCATTATGCTTAAGATTCAAGTGTCATACCTTCCTAATACTATAATAATAAAAAGTATTTTTCCAAGTGCTAAGAAAACGGGGTGGAATCACGCGAAATGATTCTTACTATTTTGAGTTGGTAATCGATAAGTTCATATTATTGGTTCTCAATTACTGTTCATAAAAATGAAAAGATCCACACTCTATTGAAACACTTTCTAGCAAACATTTTGATATGGGGCATTGATGTCCTAATATATTTTCCCCATACCTGTCATCCTCGGTCCAGTAAATGGTCCCGTATGCGGGACTCTGTATATCAGTACACTGCGGCCGGCAGCTGGTCCCAATGCTGGGTACCCAGCAATCATATTCAGTCCCCCGGCAAAAGGCCAGTACCATATAATCGACACTAGCAAGCCCAGCACATACATAAATCATGGGACTTTATTGGCCAATCATCGACACTGGTTACATACTATCGAGGTAGGGGGAGGGGTAGGGGTTTTAGGAGTCCAATGGATCTGAAAGTACTAGTAACTATATATTTTTTAATGTACCCCTCTCATCATATTATAGACAGACACATATTTCAAGGAAACAATTTTACGTGGTATCTACATCTCCTTTCTACATCTCATCCTGAAATATAATATTCTTCATCAATTATCAGCGGCGTTTCTTGATATCAGAATTCTTCCACCATTGGAGTATGAGAAACGAAATAGTGTTACAATTCTCATGATTGCTGGGTTGTATATTCTCTTCAGAAGAATATATTGGCGTGAATCAAACATCATTATTCTGAGAAGGGATCACACTTCAATCCGAAACCTAACGAAACTGAGTTTAACTACTCACTTTTTTCTCACAGGGCTTTGAGAAGTTGAGGGTGAAAGAGTAACTTTTGTTTTTTCTTGTACAATGATCAAGCCATCAGCTTTTCTTGGGAATTGAAATTGATGCTAACTTTCCGTAACAATAACAATAAATGTACAATTTGGTCGAAATTTCACCAAAATCAGACAAGAATTTAAAAAAATTACAGGATGATCAATTAGGCCTATTCATTTTCTAGCCGATAAAATCCTGAAACATCTAGAGAAATTAATATTATCCCTCATCGATTAAGCTCCAGACAGTAGATTCGTTTAAAGAATGTTGAAGTAAAGGACCCCGCACCGCATCAAGGGTAAATTGGCTTTCGGTGAATTTACTAGAATTTTTGATATATTGTAGAACTCGTGGTGATGATAAAGTTGACTTTTCCAAAATTTTAGATAGAAATTTTGAAGACACCTTTCATAATTTCAAAACCAAATCAACTGTGTATTGATAGTTCGAATGACCGATAATAATAAGTACCTAACATGGATGTGACTTTATCAAAAATAAAACATCTTGTATATAATATGTCTGATTAGGAGATGCTAATATCACGAATTGGTGATGATATTTGTATACTACAAAATTTAAATGAAATTCCACCGCCCACTTTTCCGAAAACCACTGAATTATTCGCTTTGTTCCGACCCACCCTGTATATTGTTAGTACGTGCAGGAATTATTATACTTCATAGTAGATTCGTATCGGTCATTCGAACAATCAATGCACAGTTGATTTGGTTTTGAAAACTTTATCACCCTATATAATCTTAACTGTTGATTTTAGAGCGTTGGTTTAATGGAGACATTTGATCAGCACCACGAGTTCTACAATACATAAAAAATTCGAGTAAATTCACCGAAAGCCAATTTCCCATTGATGCGGTGCGGGGTCTAACGTTTCAAACGTTCCTTCAATGTCTGCGGACCGATTCGCTATGCCCTCTCTCGAATTTTCGACCGTACCTTCAGAACCAACGATCTGACTCGCATCCAGATCGTCCTAGAGACGTGTGTGCAACGACCCTCGCCTGTTACAGAGACGGATGCGACATGCGGCCCGGCGATCACCAGCGAGCCTCCCACATGGCCCACCTGAGGGGCCACACGCTGGGCCGGCTGCCCTCGCACCACCACGACCCGTCCCTGGCTGGGCCGAACAACGGCAAGTACGCCACGCTCAGCAAACAGTGCAAGACGTTGGAGAGCTCCGACTTCTACTGAGATAAGTGAGTGGGACGCTTAGATGTATAGATTGAATAATAATGTAGATAGACATCGCGATTCATTCATAAATATTCAAAAAGTTTACCCCAACAATCCTAAACGGCTAACACTGGTAAATAAATGGAGTCGTGAATGGTGGGGATAATATAATACACTAGTACATTTGCGGATGAGTATTCAGACTGAGATGTTTATAACTATGGTGTTTCCACTTGTCAATTGTTTTTCGTCAAAAAGTGTCGATGGATTATTGGCCATAGTTCAGAAATCACCTGTAGAGGGCGTCGCGGCTATAAATCATCGTTCTACCAACCTTGTTAATTATCTGCAGTTCTGTGTGCCTGTTGTCAAGGTCGTTGATTGTCAAATTTATCGATTTGAATTTCGAATTCAAAATTAGTGTGGATTCATTCCGATTCCTAGTTATTCTGTCGTATTCTCTCTACAGTCTGCAGTTCATCTTTTGAGTGTTTCCAGTGTTTTAGTCCTTAGTGTTCCTATCAGTGTTAATCCCTATTATTTTCGAGTTTTGTTGTTTCTAGTTCTTGTTGTTGTTTTCCGCGTTGTCGTTATTCATAGTTCAGTGTTGTATTCAGTTTTTGTTGTGTTTTAATTCTCTCTGAACATCATGTACTATTGCATAGTTTGTGGACAATCTCAAACAAGTACAGGCCATTTCCTGCATTTGTACAGGGTACCCAAGGTGAATATTTGCATGTTTATCGAATTTAGTTCTAACTTTGCATTTCATTTTTTCATCATTATACTTTATACTTTCATAGGAGGATAATGTTCGACAAAAGTGGGCTGATGCAGTTGGCAAACACTTACCACCTAGTGGTCGAATATGCTCCAGGCATTTCCCCCCAGAATGTCAAGGCATGAAAAAGCTGAAAAAATCTGTTCTGCCCTCCAAACTGTAATATTTTTCATATTATTTTTATTAAATACTTAAGTGGTAGGTTAGGTTGCAAAAAAAACAAGAACAACAGAGTATTCCTTTTTATCAATCAATAAATACAATGTTTCTAATTGGAGAAAATCAAAGCAAAAGACACCATATCATCTTCTTGGAGTCCATTAGAATATTCATAGAAATATATGAATTAGTTTTCATTTCTAATTTGAAATTCCAAACCTATTTTATTATTTGATAGTCTTGGTCATTATATACATTCCTAAAATAAAAAAAAATATTCATTCTCAAAATAAATATGACCTACCAAACTTCAATAGGTCATATTACTCATTAAAATAAGAAAAAACATATAAATATTGATTTCAAATGCTTTGTTTTCAACAGATGGTTTGAAGTTAAAAAAAATGTTATACTATATAATATATCTGGAGAATCTTCTTGAAATTTGGTGAGCATATTTGTAGTAGAAGTATTTGTTTGTTAGACTTGCTGAGTCCTGTGGTCTCCCATCAGAAAACCATTGCTATTTTCATTATAAATTACACTGCTTTTTGAAGGCTTGCAAGAACAGTAATTAAGAAAATGCACTATTTTCAAGAATGATATTAAAACTCTTTCAATAAAGAGTGCTTTAGATTTTCTAAACTAATTATTACATAGCCTAGCTGTAGCTTGTAAGATTTTGTAATTATTTATTATGTATAGAATAATAAAAAAATACTTGTAGATCTTGACATTGAAATTGATTTTCTTCCTTCTTTAGACTCTATGATGATTTATGTATGGATGAAAGTCCTAATATTTCAATTCAAGAACCTTCCACCTCCCAATCATGTACCTCACCTGAAAAAAATATTGAAAATACCCAAATTGATGCTGGTATCCCATCTCCTCAACCTGAACCTATAACAGAAAATAATGACCCAACAAGTCTGATGGAATTAACAGTTGAGGATACTGTAATAGGATCAAGGTACCTATTATCCTTTATTCAAAAATAAAATTACACAACTACCCTAGAGATGATCATAGGGAGTGTCTCCAATAATGGACCTAAAACTTTCCTTTATTTTAATATGACTATTGAAAGTAAGAAAAATATTCATTATTCCAGATTTTTTGGAATTTTCTCTCATTTGTATGAAATAAAAATATGAATATTATTTCAATATATGTGTAGTAAGGACAAATCAGATGATTTGCCCCAAAATGTCACTGTGTTTAAAGAATTTTCCTATCAGAGAGCCTAAAAGAAAAATTCACTAGCTTGTCAGTGACAATTTGTATTGAAAGAAATTTGGAGAGAAATAAAGGTATGTATATATAGAAAAAATAACAAATTTTTACTTAGCTTTGGACGTTTGGGAAACGAATCTGCTCCTGTTTTCAACATAAAAAAATGGATATTTGAATATCAAATTCATATTGCACTTATTGACATGAGTTACAGGATGTTTTCATTGATTAATCTTGATCGAATTTACCATTTTCATCTTCAGATTTCAGAAGTGAATACCATGTTCTATCAATGAAAATGGTAAATTCAAGATTTATTAATGATAATATCCTGTAACTCATTTCATTGCCGAGAACTGGAAGGTGCCAAGAGAAATATGAATTTGGTATTCAAATATCCATTTTTTATGTTGAAAACGTGAGCAGATTCGTTCCTGAAACGTCCAAAGCTAAGTAAAAATTTGAAATTGTATCTATATACCTTTATTTCTCATTTCCAAACTTGTTTCAATACAAATTGTCACTAACAAGCTAGTAAATTTTTCTTTTAGGCTCTCTGATAGGAAAATTCTTTAAAGGCAGTTACATTTTGGGACAAATCATCTGATTTGTCCTTACTACAGGTATATTGAAATAATATACATATTTTTATTCCATAGAAACAAGGAGAAAACCCAAAAAAATCTGGAATAATGAATGTACCTACTGCACCTCCTTGATTAAACTACAGACAGTATTTGAAAAAATATATTTATTTCAATAATAATAATATGATACAATAACACCAGCATACACATACATATTTCAGTAAAATATATTGGAAATCTAGCTGATATTTTGATATATAAATATAAAATACTTACATATTACAAAAATGTGGAGAAAATACATTTATTACATTTGCTACCCTAGGTTACTCTAATCAAATGAAAAATGATACCACACACAGACTACTGAGACCACAATAAGATAATTGGACTAAACTTCAACCTCTATACCAAAATGTATTGGTTAGCCCCTACAGGGCGTTGAAATAAATATGTAATACATAATTCTACACAGTATTTCAAATTCCTAAAATGTCCTAAATATCAGATATCATCTATGATTCTCTTTGAAAAGGAAATTGGTACTTACCTGAAATTATTAAATAATTTTAAAGGGTACCAAAGCATGAAAAACAAAGCAATTTGATATAGAGGTGAAATAAGTTCCATTATCTCATTTTGATCTCAGTAGTCTATGCTTGTCTATGGCATCATTTTGTAAAAAAAATTCAGGGACACCCTGTATATCAATAAATCAACCAAATAAATGATGATAAATTGACATTGAAATTAACTTCCTTCCATTTGTAGCCTCTGTGATGATGTATGTATGGATGAAAGTCCTACTATTCCCATTGAAGAACCTTCCACCTCCCAATCTTGTATCCCACCTGAAATCATGGAAATTAAGGATATTGATGATGATCCTCAACATGAACTCATACCAGAAAAGAACTTATTGTATTTTTTATCAATTTTCAAGAAATAGACTTTGGTTGATAGCCTATGACCTATGTTGGTTGTACAGGGTGGCCAACTAAGACTCCAGAGTTCAATTTCTCTGTTGTCTTGAGAAATACAAAAAAAAGTCATGTATCAAAATTGAAGTAATAATCGAGCTTCACATTTCAAAATTTCTTTGAAATACACAGGGTGTTCCGTAAGGTCACAGCACATCAAAACTATGTTTTTTTCATTGGAACACCCTATATTTTATTTCATTTTTGAATTCTCTCTGAAGATTTGATTTCAACGACGTATCATACTTAGGGTCTAGCAGTGAAAGTTATTGACATATAGGGTGTGCAAAATCGAGATTTTCCAAGTTCAAAATTTTTTTCTGTCGAAACTGTTCATTATTCATCAAAACGGTTTACATGTCCCTATCTCAACTTTTCACTCACTATCAATTGGTGTTCTTCAGGAAGAATTCAAAAATGAAATAAAATATAGGGTGTTCCCATGAAAAAAACCTAGCTTTGATGTGCTGTGACCTTACGGAACACCCTGTGTATTTCAAAGAAATTTTGAAATGTAAAGCTTGATTATTACTTCAATTTTGATACATGACTTTTTTTTGTATCTCTCAAGACAACAGAGAAATCGAACTCTGGAGTCTTAGTTGGCCACCCTGTACATTATATACTTGATTCAATAAAAATTTTTTTTTCAAGATGGAATGACTCCTCAAATAGAAGACTTATACAAAATCTAATGTTTTGGGAATACTTGTCACAACTTTATCATATATGTACTTATTTCAAAATCACCTTGTAATTATATGATTTCTTCTAGGAACTCTTTATTTTCAATGTGCAATTTGTAAACATTTTTTTCCAGCTATTTCCTGATATTGATTCCCTATTCTTTATGCACACATGTATACATATTGTCATCTCATATATTAAAGGAAAATTACAATTACATGATGAAAATACTTTTGATTATGTGTATTACATGGTTGGTTGAACATTTCCATGTCAATGAAATCAAATATAGACAAGTTTTGCTATTTTGTAGTGTATGATTTCAAATCTCTATCAATATTCAATATCAATCAATCAAATTTATTCTTCCCAAGAAATGATGTTTTTTTATAGCAGGGAACATGGTGAATATATAGATATATTTGACAAAATAAATAAAACAGTAAAATAAGACTCACACTCAAGAAGAAATCATTTGTTTTTTTTTAAAGCTCAACAGAAAATGATTCTGAATTGACTCTGTTAGGTACCCAATGGAAAACTATAGTAATTGTACAAGAAAACCATTAAAATGACATATGATGTCAATATTA